TCACTAGAACTGCCGTGGAATTATCAAATGGGTCAAAGGCACACAGACCCATACCTCGCTCACTTCTCCCAATTTGTTGTAGAGTGTGAATCTGTAACAGACACCAAGACAATATATACACATATAAATATATAATATATAAATCTGTAAAAAATATAATAAAACTGGCAAGACAAATAATAAAAAAAAATTATCAAATAAAAAAGTGCAATGAACTTTCAAATAATATACAAGACAGAACAATTTAAATTTCATCTAAAATATAAACAGTAAAGGAATATATACACTTTACTGTTACTGCAAATCTATCAATGGACGCTATTCTTTATATTGTGCATTCTCCTCAGTAACATATTCTTTGTGTATTTCTCTCTCAGTAAGCTATTGTGTGTTAACAGCTTCATCACTCTGGTTGGGTCCAAAGGATTTTAAAAAAATCTTCAGGCAGCAACAGGCCTACTATTGCCTGAAGATCTATTGCTGAAATTATGGTAGCAGTAAGATGCAATTTTTTTAATGCTTTTGCTTCAAACAAATTTCCAAAGACTATATATATGTGTGTGTATATATATATATATATACACACACACACACACTTAGTTGAAACAAATTTTTAAGCACACACATATATATGTGTGTGTGTGTGTGTGTGTTTCACTCTATCACAGCTCATCAGTGTGGCTAGACATCCGATCACTTCAAGCTGGGACTGAAACCCAACCAATTTGGCATTAGTCATAGATTCTAACCCCTAGGCTATCAGCACCTGGCAGAGAGAAGGTTTAATTTTTTTGCATATTTATATTTTCATAAACATGCCAGTGACCTAGAGGACACAATCCATTGGTAGATTCTTGCATCTAGAATCTTACATATATATATATATATATATATATATATATATATATATATATATATATATATATATCTGTGTGTGTACATTGGTCAACATTTGCTAGACAACCTGGGTGTCCTGCAAGATACAGTGATGATTTGTTTACAGTTCTGTGCAGAGCTCTGTCCACTCAGGATTTATGCATATCAGAACTGGTTTTTATTAAATTGTATCAACCATCTGTGTGGACAGAAAGAGTAATTGTAACCTTTTAAGAAGTATGTTAGTGAATTTTTCCATTTTATTTTTTCACTAGGAACCTTTAACTTTGGCTCTTTTGACAGTATATTTTTTCCTTCCTCCTTGAATTTATTAATAAATTTGTATTTCATATATATCATATTTTTTTATTCTCACAGAGCAAATTGTTTTTCTGTCTATATTTACCAACATATTCTCTGGACAAAGTTTTGGTTAAAAAGGATGCATGAAGAAGAATGCTTTCATGTGTTTATATATATATAATATAAAAATATATGTAATGATCATAATTTTCTGTTCGCTTGAATCCTGTCTCAATTAATCTTCTTGAATCCTGTTCTTGTAATCTTTTATTTTTACTCAGCATGAATTGATTAAAGAATATATATACATATATGTAAGCATATATAATTGGTAGGAAAAAAATATATATGGGAAAAATATGATATACAAATTTATATATATGTCAAGAACATTTTTTCTCAGATTTCCCAAAAACATGTGTGTATACACACAAGATTTATAGAAGTGCATGCCTATATATATATATATATATATATATACAAAAAAAAAATCTTTAAAGAAAAAATTGCTTGCAATAAGTTAATCAAATCTAATGGCCAATATCTTGGAAAAAAATATTTGATTTCACAAAGGACATTAAGTTATATATTTGAAACCACTTCAAAGGCTTGTTGAGTGTTTATTATTAAACTTCTAAATGATTCTTCTGCTATGTAGGGAAGATTCATTTTCTTCGTTGAAACAAAAATAGAACATTTTGGCCTGATTTCCAACAAGTATTTTTAGTACAGCTGAAAATCTATTATTATTATTATTATTATTATTATTATACTGACTGTTTACATGGAGGAGATAGCATAATGCTATGGGGCTTTTTCTCTTTTTCTGTTCCAGGGTAAATTGTGCAAAATATAATGGCTGGTGCCAAATACAAGAATCCAGAAGCTTGGGAAGAAATTCTATTTCAACAAGACAACAATCCAATGCATACATTTTCAGCAACTCAAGAATGGTTTCAGAAAAAACATGAAGGTTTTAGATTGGCCAAATTAAAGCTTAGATCTGAATTCCATAGAAAAATTCGGGAGTAATCTGAAAATTGCTGCCCAATAACTTTGCAACCAAACAGTCTACAAATTTGTATAAATTTGATCATATTATTTAATAAAAATAGTAACTTTGACAATGAAAGTATATATATATATATATATATATATATATATATATATATATTACTTTATTTCACCAAATACAAAGCCCAAGGGTAACTCAAGGTAGAGGGTTACTCAGGGAAATTATTGTAAGGAAGTGGAAAGAAGGAAGCAAAAAGTGCACATTATTTAGGATTGATATCAGTTAGCCTGGGATTTGAAGAGGTTAAGGTTGTAGTATCGAGAGGAGCATCCTCTCAGGAATCTGTTCCACAAAGTTCTGGGAAAGATGCTGTCTGAGTGGAACTTACTCCTCATCAAATAATGGGATGGGGAGGATCTGCCACCACTACACCTGTGCACAAAGGTGAGATATCACTGAAAATTTAAACCATTTTTTTTCATTATGTGTTTCAGTATATAGTCCAGCCAGTTTCATTTAGTTTATTTTTTTGTTTTTATCACTTTTGCCATTAAGTATCACACATTGTGATAATAGTCCACTGAGTCCTCTGCTAATAAAAAACATACTAAAAAAATAAAAATTAAAAAGTTACAGTTGCTATATATTGTTATGTATTCTTAACTATTATTAAAGAATGCTACCTATTCTTAACTAATACTAATTGTTGTCACCTATTCTTAACTAGCTTTAATTATTGTTACCTATTCCCAACTATTATTAAATGTTACCAATTCTTCACTATTATTAAATATCATTACCTATTCTTAACTAGCTTTAATTATTGTTACCTATAATTAACTATTATTTAAAAAGGTTATCTATTCTCATCTAGTATTAATTACTGTTACCTATTATTTGATAAAGGTACCTATTCTCAGCTATTATTAAATAATGTAACCTATTCTTAACTATTATTAATGTTAAGTATTTTCAACTCTTATTAAATAGCATTACATTTTATTATCTAGTATTAATTATTATTAACTATTATTAAATAATGTTACCTGTTCTCACCTACTGTTAACTGTTATTAATTAATGTTACATTTTATTATCTAGTATTAATTATTATTAACTGTTATTAAATAAAGTTACCTGTTCTTAACTAGTATTAATTATTGTCACCTACTGTTAACTGTTATTAAATAATGTTTCCTATTCTTAACTAGTATTAGTGTTAACTAATGCTTACTATCATTAAAAATTGTTATTTATTCTTAACTATTATTAAACAATGTTACCTATTCCTAACTAGTATTATTGTTATTTCTTCTTGACTATTATTAAATATTGTTACCTATTTTTAACTAGTATTATTGTTATTTCTTCTTGACCATTATAAAATATTGTTACCTATTCTTAACTAGTATTATTGTTATTTCTTCTTGACCATTATAAAATATTGTTACCTATTCTTAACTAGTATTATTGTTATTTCTTCTTGACCATTATAAAATATTGTTACCTATTCTTAACTAGTATTATTGTTATTTCTTCCTGACCATTATAAAATATTGTTACCTGTTGTTAACTATTATTAAGTATTCTAAACTTTTTCTAAATATTAACTATTTTTAACTTAATCAATTACTGTCAGTTGTGATGAACATTTGTGACTTATTGTCAACAATTATTAAATATTGTTAACTACCTGAAAATATTATTTCATCATTTTTCTCCCTCAAGATGGCAGCACAATAAAAGGCTGTCCATTAAATGTTCAAAAGAAGAATTTTCCTTGTAATGATTACATTTTGTCCATCAAACGACTCAAGTGAAATATGATGGGAGAATCATAAATGTCTTTAGAAAATATATTTACTTTTATCTGGACTGAAAGAAAAAAATATTCCCAAGAAAGGGAGGAACGTGAACAAGGCAAAACAATATACTTAACAAACATTACCAGAAAAATGTTAAAAAAAATAATTGTCATCAAGGCACTGGGTGCAACATTAAAGTTAGACAGAATGTAATCAGTAGAGATAACGTAAAATATATATATATATATATATATATATATATATATATATATATCTGAATGAAAAATATATAAGCCCATATGTAGATATCTCGTAAAATTACCTAGAAATTCTACATCAGATAGTTAACAAAACAAAAGGAAAACATAGGTGAAAAAGGCAATTAAATCAAACACCAAAACCTTGAAAAGTGCAAAAAAGTATTGACATGAGAGACTTGATATAAGATCATATATATATATATATATATATATATATATATATATATATATATATATATATATATATGTATGTATATAATAAAAAGAAAGAACAGCAAGATATATAATCCGGTGTTCTTATAGATATTTCTATTTTTACCAAATAGTGCTCAATGTAAATTTACAGAGCATTAATATTATAAATTAATTGATTTAAAATACGTTTTTTTAAGCTACACAGTTCTAGAACTGTGTGGAAAAAACATATTTTAAATCAATTAATTATTATATATATATATATATATATATATATATATATATATATATATAATGCTAGATGTTAGAACATCAGCAGCCAAGGTTCAATCCATCACCAGGCCAGCACTCCAGGTTTCTTTACACTGTTCTCAACTTTAAAATTTCTAGCACAGTCATAGAAAATCCTCTGAAACCTTTTCAAAGTAATGAAAATGTAATCCTGATGTAATGAAATAAACAGTCACCACTATGAATGATTACACTATAAGTAGCAAGTACCTATAAAGTCAACCATCTATGAGAAACACAGGGATGAGAGAGATGAAGCAAGCACGTCTGACCTTCCAATTAGTGGCACTCACTACTAGATTGACCTGTGTGTATAACTGTACTCTGTTTCATATTGTACTGATTGT